TGATAGCTTAATAACAAAATTGCCAGATGAGTTTGTCTGCTCTGACTCCCGATGAGCACTGAAAGTAGACGCTGGGATTGGATTTAACACAACTGGTGATTTTGCCCTTTAAAAAGTCCAGGGAGAATGTGTTTTCAGTTAGGTGTCACAAGACCACGGACTCCCCGAGTGGACCTCGTTCTTCCCTTCAGTGAAGGTTAATGCATTAACTGTTCCTGTACGGCTATGCTTTAAAAAAAAAAAAATGACTGGAGGCAGAGTGGGGGGAGGGGGGGTTGAACTGGATCTGTGATTTCATTAGCTAAGGGAAAACATTGCTGAGAATGGGTTTTCTGAAGAGATTTCCCATCCTTGGAGTTGTTCAGGCCAAAGACGAATGGCTACTTTTTTGGAGACAGGTTATTGTTTTTGTTTGGTTTGGTTGGGTTGGTTTTTGAGGGAGGATCCAGACTTGTGATTTTACAATGTGGGAACTCCCAGTATGGAAACTCCTTTTCCCTACCGTGGATCTGCTATTTACCCAGAGTTTTACTAGGGGCTCACATTTCCATAATGCTTTACGGTTCATGTGTAATAGTCCCACTTGGGGAATCTCATCAATGGATATTTATCTAGTACTTTAAATTTTGCAAAGATATTTGTGTGTATACAGATGTGTATATGCACACACATATATGTTGATTTACATGTATGTGTACATATGTATGTTCACATTTGAGCCTCACAGCCACCTCTGTAGATATTTTCCTCATTTTAACGATGAGGAAATTGAGGCTCAAAGAAAAGTGAGGTCACTTGCCTCCAGTCCCACAGCTCATAGATGTCAGAGACAAAGTCTTCATAACCATTCTATCACACTACCTCCCTTGGTAGACAGAAATGTCCACTATCATTCAAGATGAAATCTACTTACACTATCAGACTCGGTAGATGTGTGTTTTGCTAAACCATTTTTTTCTCTCTCATTTGCTACAAGGGATGTCTTGTTGGGTAGGGGAGGGAGGATATATATGGAAATTAAGGTGGTATAGAAACAAAGATATCAATAAAAATGATCCATCATCTGTGAAGCCTGGAAAAGGCACCAGCCCTTACTTCTGAGACCCCCTCTTCTCCCCAGTCACATGCCCTCCCTGCCTCCTCCAGGGGATGTGGCAAAGGTGGGGATTTGGGACAGGGAAGGTTGGCTCAGCAAGCCTCGTGCCTCTGCTCATGCCTTTTATGTCCTCATTGTTGTTCAGTCATGTCCCAGGTGTTCAGTCATGTCGTACTCCTCATGACCCCATTTGGAGTGTTCTTGGCAGAGATACTGGGGTGGTTTGCCATTTTCTTTTCAAACTTACTTTACAGATGAGGAAACTTACACTAACAGTGTTAAGTGACTTGCCCAGAGTCACACAGCTAGTGAATGTTATGTGTCTGAGGTTGGATTTGAACTCAGGTCCTCCTGACTCCAGGGTGGGTGCTCCCAATGCAAATACTTAAATACACACACAAAAAAAGAAGATTGTATGTAAAACCAAAAACTCTTGTTATATGGTTTATTTTAAAAGAAGTTTATATTATAGTTAGGACTTTGGTAATAAAATCATCCAATTTGTTTCTTTCCTACTTCGAATTACTTTTTTCCTTTGTGTATTTCTTATGTCATAATGATGTTCTTTTCTTTTGCATCTGTGATTTCCTATTAACTCACTCTTGCCCCCTCTCCCATGGAGCTCACCCTTGTAACAGATAAGTAGAGTCAAGCTAAACAAATCAGTAAGTTGGCCATGTCTGAAAATGGTTCATTTCCCCCCTATAGTTGATCACCTCTCTGCTGAGGGGAGGCGGCTAATAGCTTCATCAGTCTTTTAAATTCATGAATTGCATTGATCAGGGTTCCTAAGTGTTTCAGACGGAGTAGGGATCGTTTCATTCCTTAGAGTTTGATTTCTGTGCTTGGCACATTAATTAATTAATTAATTAAGCACTTAATAACTGCTTGTTGATTGACTGATTGGTCATTGTGGTTATCAGGTAGGTTGTTCTCCTGGTTCTACTCTTTTGCTCTGTATCTGTTCATACAAGTCTTCCGAAGTTTCTCTGATTTCTTCCTAGTTGTCATTTATTGTTGGTGTTCGTCCTTTGTTCTTACCCCACTTCTTAGGGCATCAGTCGACACTTCCCTGTGGAAAGGAACTTGGTAACTAGTGGCCATGGGGAGAGACCACTTGAAGGCAGGGGAGTCTGGCATTATCTGGTGGTGGAGGTGTGAAGTATACCCCACAGAAAGGACGTGCTTTCTTTCCCCAGGGGCACAGATTCTGTAAGGCAAGATGCCATCCTGGCTATCATGACACTAACCCAAAGGCAAAAATGGAAAAAAAAAAAAAAACAACCAAAATCTGTCTTGTCCTACAACCCCTGGCTTGTGTTTATAGGATAACTTTAGGATAGTGTGGAAGAACTCCACTCATAGGATGAGGGTCCTTCCAGTGAAGCTGGCTTCTCTCCATACTGGCAAGGCTCTCATCGAGAACAGGAGTGTTTCTGTTCTATGGTCATAAACATATCAGGCACTCTTCATTTAATTTGTCTACCTCAGTTTCCTCACCTGTAAAATGAGGATATTAATAGTACCTTCCTCCAGAGTTGTTGTGAGGATCAAGAGAGATAATTGTAAAGCATTTAGCACAGTATCTGGCACATAGTAAATGCTATATAAATGTTAGCTGTTTGTTGTTAAGAGATGAGAGCCATACCTCTGGGCAACATTTCATCAAGGGATTTTGGGGACTTAAAACAATATGGGAGAAGGAAGGGAAGAATTGGCCGATGCATTGATAAATTAGCCCCAGATAGAACCATCACTAAGGCACTGTAAGGTTTAACCACTTTAGCTGAGGAGTTGGCAGAGAACTCTGGGATAGATAACTGATTAAAGGGATGGTTAGAATGCTGGTTTGGCGGGGCAGCTAGGTGGCGCAGTGGATAGAGAACCGTCCCTGAAGTCAGGAGGACCTGAGTTCAAATGCGGCCTCAGACCAAACACTTGATACTTACTAGCTGTGTGACCCTGGGCAAGTCACTTAACCTCAATTGCCTAAAAAAACAAACAAACAAACAAAAAAATAAACAGAATCCTGGTTTGGCAAATGGAAAGGAATGGCTGTATCCATTCAGGAGTATTAACTGCTGTAGGATATTGTATAGCTCCATGCACTAGGAGACTGGTACAACAACTGATAGAGACATCCCTCACAAAAAAGATTATCTCAGTAGGACCCACAGTGGGAGTTCAGAGGGCAGACTCTGGCAATATAAGGATGATGATTAAAAGTACCAATGAGACTTTCCCCAGTGATGGAGAATGTGAAATCATGTTAAGGAGATTAGAGGATAAGGAAATTGGGAAGGTGTGGAAACCAAATCTTCACTTAAAAAAAAAAAAGGTAGGAATTGGTGAGAAATGAAAGAGTTAAGTTTTCACATAAGTAGATAAGAAATCAGCACAGACAGGATAACTTCTCTGTCCAGGGTTGGGGGGAGTGACAACACAATTCTAGGCACACAATGTATGTTAAGGGTGGGGCGTATAAGGAAGATTGTAACCCAGAAGGATTAGGACCGATCCTGATCCAGAAGGGAGGAGTTAGGCAATTACTAACTATAAAGCTTGCTCTGGCTTCTGTACCAGGGCACTCTCCCCTTCAAAGGAGGTGTGCCTGCTTCTCTCAAGAATCAAAAGGATGCATTTCAACCTCTTTAATAAAAAGTCTTTGAGACAAAAAAAAAAAAAAAGAGATAAGAGCCGTCTGCTCTCTGCCTTGGGCAGAGCCCATCTAGGATACTAGATTCCATTCTGGACACCATAGTTTAGAAAGGACACTGATAAGCGGGTCAGCAAACAGGACAGTGAAGGGACTGATTCCTTGCTATATAAGGATCAGTTGAAAGAACTGGGTGGGGGCATAGCCTGGAGAAGTTTTTGAAGTATTTGAAGGCTTTCATGGACAAGAGATGAAATTTGTTGTTTGGACCCCAAAGGGCACAACCAGCAGTAATCATGGTAGAAATTGCCAAGGGGCAGAGCTCTGTTTGCTGTAATGACATACTTTCTGACAATTAGAGCTATCTAAAAGTGGAGTGGCCCAGTCTCCCTGTGGTGGGCTTCTCCTCACAGGTCATCTTGAAGCAGAGAGTAGATGACCACCACTGACTGAGAATATCATAGAAGGCACTGCTAGATCTGCAGGCCGGAAGGTCAGAGTTCAAATCCAGCCTCAGATACTTACTAGCTGTGTGACTCTGGGCAAGTCGCTTAACCACTGTCTGCCTCAGTTTCCCCATCTGTAAATTGGGGGCAAAAACAACACCCACCACCCAGGGTTGTTGTAAGAATCAAGTAAGATATGATATGAAAAGCACTCTGCAAATCTTAAAGTACTATATGAATGCTATCATTATTATTGCTCATTCATAAATTGGACGAGATGATGCGGGATGACCCTTCCAACTCTGAGATTCTATGACTTCTGGCCAAATGCTCCACAAATGTATGTCTCTGCTTCCTACAGAAGTTGAAAGGTAGCTTTAATCCTGTGACTCATGGATGGTGGGTCAGGAACATCCTTCCCTTGGAAATATCATTAATTTTTTATTTTGGAGAAGTTTAGAACTACAATTTCATCAACACAAGGACCTTCCCTGTGTAAAGACTCCCTCCACTGATGCAGTCTAGCCACTTTTAAATCCTGGAGAGTTGCCTGGTGATTTGCCTAGGGCCATATAGCCAGAATGTGTCAGAGATGGAATTAGAACTCGGGACTTCCAAGTTCTGAGGCCAGCTTTCCCTCTGTCTGCTCCTCCATGTTGCATTTCATTCCTTTGATTATTACTCTCGTCTGGATCTTCAGTTTCCTATGTGGAGAGATCTCTTTGGTGTAGAAACTTCCTCCACCTGTATGTAAAGTCATTTAATTGATGACATTTTTTTTTTTTTTTGGTCTTCCCAACAGGCACCGCCTAGGATCCTCCGATCTCGCTTCAGGAAGAAATGTACCTCATCCCCTGCCACTGAAACCATGTGAGTGAGATGAGCCAGCAGCACCGGGATCCACAGCACGCCTCTTCTCTGCCTTAAAGAGCTATTCACTTAATAACATAGAAATCTGGGAGCTGGGTGTGCTTTGAGTGGGCAGCATTGTAGTCATGGCCTTCTCTCTCTCTCTCTCTCTCTCTCTCTCTCTGTGTCTCTCTTCTCTTCTCTTCCTCTTTTTTTAAAATTAATTTTCATGGGAGAAGGGGCTAAGGGTGGGATAACAGGGAATAACCTCTAAGTCCCTAAGGTTGGGAGTATTCACAGCTCAGTAATCATTTACTTGAGAAAAAAGCATCATTGAGGAAGTCATCTCTGCTGTGTTTCTGAAATACAGAAATGTTTGGGGTATAAGTTTGTAATTTATCAGTTGTTTACCTAGTTTTTATTCCCATAAATGCAAATGGTAGTATTTAAAACCAAATATCCTCCCCCCCATAAGAATACTTTGGATCATCATGTATTTTATATTTTATGGTATTTTTGGTTAAAATAAATAGACTTCCAGTGGCCAAAAATGGCTCACAGTTAGTAAAGAGACTGAATGAAAAAAGCAAGTTTGTTTGTTTTTTAAATTAACAAACCCAACAACATGCTTGTTCCTATGTAGAATTTGTAAAAGCTTCCAGGTACAGCTCAGGGGGGTGACTGGCAAGTATTTCACTACATGAGTGAGGACAGAAAAAATAGAGATGGAATGAAGAGAGATCAGGTGGTCCCTCCTCTCTGCAGTTTTTCTTTTCCATTCCCAGTGAGCCTTAGGGTTTCCCAGATGTCCCGCTGAGATGTAACTGTGAGCTGAACACCATGCAATAAGGAAAGTGTGAAAAGAGGCATGGTCTGCGTTGGATTCAGGGCTAGGACCTTGAGAATCATGCTTGATCTGACCACAGGCAGGACCCTTCACCTTGCAAAGCTTCTTGAGGGTGTGACCATGCACCTACCTCGTAGGGATGTCAGATGGACTCCCGGACAGAAGGAGCCTAGCAGATGAGAAACTCTAGGTAACAGTAAGGATTCCCCATCATCTTCCCTGCATTGACTCATGCTGAAACCATTCTCACCAGACAAAGATGGGAGGGGTGAAAAACCTTGTGTCACAACAGCTCACGAAATCAGTATCATGTGAAAAGAAGCTAGAATCATATCTCTTACTTTTAAGAGAGGCTTTCCAATACATCCTAGACATGTTTGCAATTATCTGTGATAACAGGAGCAGGAAAGATTTGGGGAGAGTTCTAGTGGCAAAACTCGGTCCTAGAAAACACGATTTATGTGTGGCTTCCCATTGAATTCTAAATATTGCTCTCATCTGTGCATGGTAGCTTTTAAGACACACTTCCCATGAACTTATGAACTCACCCCATGGGAAAAGAGTCAAGTCCAGACTCACCATATAGAATTGAGAGCCTAATTTTTTTTTTCCTAAAAAGGAGAATCTGGGTTAGATTTCATTTTAGTCTAAGTGTTAGGATAGTGTTTTCATCCCTAGATTAGGAAAGAAGAAGGAGAAGCTATATTGAGTATTTGTGCTTTCGAGATGTGAGTGTTTTCTGCATGCAGTGTTCACAAAGCAGTTAATCAATCCCTTAGCTCTGACTGTGTTGACCCTTCATCTGTCCCGTAGGCTAGAAAACACGTGTTACTACTATGTACCACATAAGACTTGCTGTCAACTGAAATATATAACCAGGCTCTATTAAAGATTGTTCCATTATTAACATAGTTAAGGTGCAGCAGGGGGTCTGGGGGATGGTGAACCAGCTGGATTTCAGCAGGCTCAGAAACTGTCTTCCAGTGTCAGTCCCTTTGGGTCTTTACAAGTGATTTTATAGCATTCTTAAAAACAAAACAAAACAAACAAAATTAAAAACCCACTTCTAAATGAGTTAAGAGAAAACCCTGAGCACTATTGGTTAAAAAAAAAAAAGAGGGCAAAGCATTTTCCCCTTGTCACAATACTTCCACATGTTACTGGAAAGAAAAGTGATTTCCCTCAAATATACCTCAAATGCAGGTTATTAATAGAAACTCTATGGTTTAGAAAGATATTTACCTTTTAGGTAGCAACTAGGAAATATTCAGAATCATTGAATGTGCCCAGAAAAAAACTGAGGAGCCCAGCTTGCATGCTTAAGTTATGCAATTTTTTTCTTTTTGCAAAAAAATCCCCCCCAAAAACAAAACAACAAAAAAAAACTTTAGCAGAAATTAAAATCCTACTGTGAGCGAGCTTTTTTTTTTCCTCACTATTATGCAACAGGAAATTTTGACAAGTAGAAGCTGACAAATTTGCACTCAATTATGCCAAAAAAAATGTTTGAAGAACTCTCAGATATGCTGTATTACTATTCATTCTAGGTAAAAATAAGAAAAGGTGTCCAAGCTGCTGTCTTAATGTAAACTTGACTGTTTCAATTTTCCTTCAAGTGTTAATAAGGGGAGTTGGTTTCTCTCTCAGACATTCACTGTACAACTGAGAAGTTTTCATATCTCTGGCAAAATGTGTATTTATCCAACAAGCTGTATATTTGTGTATAGACTGACATGAAATGTGAATGCTTCCAAATGTACGCTTAGTGCTGTGCTCTGTCCACAAAATAAGACAATGTTTTTAATTTGCTTAATTACAGACACAGGTTGTTTACAAAATGCTAGCTCAAACGTCTGTAATGGTTATGTATTGACTTATATTTTTTCATAGCCCTTGGGCACATGTATTATTTGGTGGGAGTGGGAATGGGGGTGGGTGGGAAAAGGGGCAGTGGTCTAATCCTTATAACATGGGAGAGGCAGATTAGCACAGCTTTCTCCAGGTTTCAACTAAGCCGCCTGCTAGCTTCAGCTGGTCTTTGAAATGTGTGTTTTTACATTGTAAAGCGTCCTTGTCCTTGTGATAGAATGCTGGTCAACCCCAGCCGGGGTTCATACTGGGTTTGCTTCTGAATTAGCTTCAGGTACCCACTGCTCTCTACCTGGCACAGTGTTTGAAATGGCAAAGGACACTTACTATTCATGCTCTCACAATTCACCCTCAGAGAAACAGCTGATAGATTAATTGTGCATACTGACGATAGTTGACTTCTTGTAATCAGCATAGAAAAACCTGTCATAGAATAGTAGTACAATAAACACCACTTGGGAGCGATGTCAATGACAGTATTCCAAAGGCAAAAGTTCTGCTGTTTTGTTATACTTCTTGCTTGATATATTCATCTTGAATAAATAAAGTCTTAACCTTTTCTTTTAAAAAAAAGTTCTTTTTTCGTAGTGGGCATGAGGGAAAGTTGATTTTTTTCCTCTGATGTATCTGGATGGTGGGAAAGGGTCAGAAGCCCAAAGTTTGGCCACTAAGTAGCTGAGTGGCTTAACACAGAATTCCTCATCTCTAAAAATGGGCTAATTATGGCACCTTTGTAATGGCGTACAAAGTGATTCCTTTGCCCCATTTCTTCCTCTTCTCCTTTTCTGAGGGTGACCCTTTAGAGAAAATGAGGTGACAAGGGAAAGTGCTTGGAAAACCAAGTAACACCAGACACATGCCAAAGGAACAGTAGTCTTGATCTGACACTTGGGAAGAGGCAGGGAAACAGGACAAAGACAAGGAAATAAATGGTTTATATATTTGCTCATCTGTCAAATAAGCTGGAGAGGGAAATGGAAAACCACTCCAGTATCTTTGCCAAGAAAAGCCCAAAATTGGTCACAAAGAGTTGGACACAACTGAAAACAATAACACTGGCACTGTATTATCTCCATTTTACAGATGAGGAAACTGAGACAGAGGTTAAGTGACTTGCCCAAGGTCACACAGCTAGTAAGTATCTGAGACCAAATTTGAACTCAGGAAGATGAGTCTTTCTGATTCCACACCCTGTGCTCTATCTACTATGGTGCCACCTAGCTATCTGCATAGTTCAAGTTTATCATTTTAAAACTCATTAAACAATTAAAATCATCATAACATCATTCTTCGAGTTTGTCATTTTTTAAAAGTCACTATCCGAATGTATTTAAGTACTCAAATACCGTACAGATGGAAATCTAAGAAATCTTGAATGTCATAGTCATTTAAGAATTTAATTACCCACCCACCAAAAACTATGTGTGCTAGGTAACATAGTGGATAGAGTGCCAGTCTTGGATTTAGAAAGACTTGAGTTCAAATTTGGCCTCACATACTTCTGGCTGCATGACCCTGGACAAGTCACCTAATGTGTAGAATGAGGAAACTGGACTCTCTGGCCTATTAAGGTCCCTTCAAACTCTAAATATATGGCTTGGTTTTAATGGCTAGTATAGCCACATTAAGTTGCCTCGGAAAAATATATAAATACAAAGAGGATAGCATCCTTCACTGTGCTCCTTCTAAACACTATTTTTTCATCTACTAATTATGCAATTACTGGGCAGCTAGGTGGCGCCATATGCTTAGTCTAGAATCAAGAAGACCTGAATTCAAATGTGACCTCAGACACTTATTTGCTGTGTGACCCTGGGCAAGTCACTTAACCCTGTTTGCCTCAGTTTCTTCATCTGTAAAATGAACTGGAGAGAGAAACAGCAAACCGCTCCAGGATCTGTGCCAAGAAAACCCCAAATAGGGTCACAGAATCAGACACGACTAAACGACAATTATGCAAAGGTTTTGCTTAAAATTTGGCTAGTAAATTTCCACTTTCCCCGGCATCAAACAATCATTCTTTCAATCTTATTAGAAGTTGTTGAATTTCTGTGTTTTTAACAAGTGGGTTGAAAATCCACTGAAACTCTTCATTTGGAAGATTTTAAAACAGGTTAGAGAAGTTTGTCTCTAGGTTTGAATGTGCAGAGATGAGGTCTTACAGATCACGTGTTTTCGGCAGCAAAATCACAGTGATGAAAACATTTCCACATACCCAGTTTCAGAAAAGGCCTCACTATGGCACGAGCTTCTTTCGAAAAAGTAGTTCCTTGCTCACTCATTATTAAAATGCTCCCTTTACCTTGAACGGACAGATTGTGATTATTTTTATCTATTAGGGAACATATGTCCGACAGCCAACTGCCACGACAGAAAAGATCAGCCAACGTCCAACACTTGCCTTTTTTTGTAAAAGAAAAATGCCTATCTCCAGTTCAAAAATGATTAAGTGTTTTGCCTCGAGATCACTAGGAAATGGGTGTCACGCAGAAGATTTTCACGATCATTCCCCAGCTCTTTACACTGACAGATGGCTGTTTGCACCGGGACAAGCTAGAATGAGTTAAGGAGCGTGATCATTTCACTTTTTAGAAATCACAGCGAATGTTTTATCAAGTATAATTGAATAATTATTAATTATTCAAATTAGATCCATTCAGCCAGCCAAGCAGGGGAATTTTAATGCTGGAAACTTAATCCCTCTCAGTGAAAATGAAACCCAAGCAGGTGAAATTCTTACTCAGCAGCTATTTCCTTGGAGCACAGAGCTGGCAGAGAAGGCAGCTAAGGATCTGCATGTTTTCCCAACATTGTCCACACAACTGGTAGAGAGGGGGGAGTGAGCTGGGGAGCTGGGTCAAGTTTTTATAACCAAGTATGTGACACGTGGTGTGTGAGGGGAAGTTGGGGGTTTGAGGAAGGGTCTTCTCTAGCAGTGGGAAAAGACAGAACAGGGGGAAATGTTGGGCACTAATGGGTAAAGGAGGTGATGGGCCTGTGCTGGAGACATACCCCATGATTGGCTATTATGGGGAGAGTGGGGTGCAACACATCTCCCCATCGGTTGGTCCATACTCCGATGGCTTGTCATGCACACACCCAACTTTGGAGACCACTGCTCTAGATAACAGTGGCTTTTGCTGGCAATTTTCTGCCTCTCCTTTTTCTGAATCAAATAGAAAATAAAAGTACTCTTAAAGTGCCTCTTGTCAAACCTCCTTTCTTCGGGGTTTGAAAGAGCAGACGATGACACTGGAATGCTCTTCCTCGTCCTGGAGCAGTCCTGACCACCTCCTCAGCAGGGAGGGAGGTCAGAGGTGAGAAAATACAGGAGAGAAGACATGAGAAATTGTGGACTGGTGGTTACTCAGAAGTGGGATGAACTCCAAACATTTAAGAAAGCAGACACTGGAATGCCCCATCCATCCATCCACCCACCCACCCACCATGCTTCAAATCTAGAGTCTGTCCCAGTTTAAAATGTCTGACCCATCTTCATTGTTCAATGACACATCCATGCTCAACCTTCTGGACTGGGAAGAGGGGAAGCCAAAGCAACCCTCCAGTGACGATATATCCTTTCCACTGTGTAACGCTTAGTTTGAAGGACTCGTCAGTCCCAGCCTAACCTTTCATGCAGTTTTAGTCTGGTCTACATCATCTTGGTTCTCGCCTCACCCTTTTAGCAATGGTCCCTTCCCTCGGACCTTTCCACTCAGCTCTGCTCCTGTGTGATAAGGAGATCCCTCCCCACCTTCCGCCATTACCAGCAACACTTTTTTTAAAGGGCTCCAAACAAGAACTCCACCCAGCTCCTTCCCACCAATCTTGTAAGAGACATTCCCACTCAGTCAGCAAGTACGTGTTGAGGGTCTGCTAGGTACCTGCCCCAAACTTGCCATGACTATGTGTTACTCCTCCACACTCACCCTAATTTTACACTCTATCATTGGGAAAATGAGGAACGCATTCTAATGAACAGGAGAATGAGAAAATGAAGATGGATGAATGGCATTAAACTCAGAATGCTTTTCTTTTTCTTAAAAATGCGCTGCAATCTCTAAATGGTAATGGAGAAAGCTACTCAAATAGCTGTTTCTTTCACACTTCTTTGCCTCCACAACCCTGTCCAGTGAAGACAGACAAGGAGCTAGTACAATGGAGCAAAGTCAATATTGTTTATTCACAATTACAGGGTTTTTGTGCCACAGATGGAGCTCCAAAGCATTTCCCCAGCTCATCAGATGCCCTATTGGTCTTTAATGAGAAGATCTTAAAATTCAGCTTCTATAATCCAAGTGTCTCCCCTCCCTCTTGTTCTGAATTAACAAAATCATATTCACAGCAAAACCTTAGTTTCGTGGTCTTTAAAACCCTGTCTTTCCAGGCTTACTGCACATCATTCTGCATGCACTTTATATCACAACCAAACTGGCCTTCTTCCCGTACCCTGTGCCCAACATCTCATCTCCTCTCTCTGCGCCTTTGCCCCGGCTGTGCCCTGGGGCTGCAATGCTCTCCCTCTTTCTCTCTCTCAGAGAATCCTGAGCTTCCTTCTGAGCTCAGCTCAAAGGGCTACCTTCTATAGGAAGCCTATCTGTATATACTTTGTATTTAATTTCCTGGGTATGTGCTGCTTCCCCTCATGAGCATCCGAGCCCAGTGAAGGCAGAGCCCTCTTATCCTGTCTTTGAACCCTCAGTGCCTGGCCCTTAGCAGACCCTTAATAAACGACTGCTGAAGGAAAGGAAAAATACAATGAACGGGTGTTAACAAGAACGAGATGTTGGGTATACCATAGGTATTTAATATACAGATCACCTTCTGCTAAAGTTTTTTCCCCACAAAGTCCGATGTAATGAACACACAGCCATTTGTCACCAAGTCTGATTTATTCTGGTATATTGTACTGTTGCCATTTAAACCATTTGTCTTACTCATCTCTGTGGGGAGATATAAAGAACTATGCACAAGGAAGAGCCCCCGCGTCCTGTCCCAAACGTCCCGTGTCCGCAGGCCTACACTCGGAGGTTGGTGCGATC